ATATATATATATATATATATATATTCTAGATATATAAATGAAAATAAATAGTCTAAAAATAAAAATGCAGAATATTAAATACTGCGTCGTAATTCATTATACATTCATGTGTAACAAACTACAGTAAGAGATTAAACCGCACGAAGGACATTCTATCAGGTCTTGTGCCACCTTGCAAACATGACAAACGTTCGGATTGAAGAAGTTGTTGTATGTTTTAGGTATTTCCATTACCCATCTCGCCATTGTTCCAATATGTATGTGTATATAACTGTGACGTTCAAGATTAATAATAATTTCTTTTTAATATTAACGTAAAAATACTGAGAATTTAGCATCTAACAAACGTGAGAAAATTTTGTATACGCAATATACATGCCAATTCCGCCACTGAAGGATACTAGTGAAACGTTTATGAAGTGTTCTACGTACATGGAGAAGTGTGTTGACATTGCGATTTGTATTTAGAGATATACCAACTGTAAATGTTCGTTAACACAAAGAGTAATAAACAAATTTTGAAGAGCACATAGCATACAATATAGCATTTTTATTAAATGCATGCTGTCGAATGTATCATCTAATTACAATTACATCTAATATATATTTATTATTATTTTTACGAATATTTAAAAAGATTGTTGTAATTTTAAATAAAAAAGATTCACATATTGTTTACAAAATTCCTACGAAGGTAAAGATACAATCATACACATCGAAGCTACTGTTGCTAGAGTTTTCTATATTATTATTTCAATAATTTAAGCTCTGATAGAAAATTAAATATTGATTAGAATAAAACATAGAATCCCTCTCATCGTCCCTGCATTATCTAAAAGATGCGAGTTTATTTTCTTTGTAAAGTAGCGGATATGATCACAGTATCCTTTACATATTTTCATTATACTATTATTAGCTATAATTATCGACTTAATTGTTAAAAGTAATGGACAACCTTGATGCTGATATCTGTGAAAAAGACTCAAACTGTATGTCGTTAACTATACTAATAATGTTCCTATTATCATGAAACTGTCTAACATGAATATTTCGACTATTTCGGTTTACCTAATACTATTCATACGCACAATTCTTCACACAAGCTTCCACATGCAATCAAATGATTATTACAAAATGAAATATTTAAATTTTAGAAACAACTAATGCTCCACATTCTTTATTAATATCACGAATATGACCAGTATTTATTCCGCTTGAACGTTAATTTTTACTTTAACATGATTTTTTATAATTAAATATCTGCGATAAAAATGTATAGTAATCTATCTTACATATATGATTCTAAGGATACAACCTAAAAAGTAACAATACAATTATTTACTAGTACTATTGTTTGTTTAAATTGGCTCGCTTACGCAGGTCAAGAAACGATAACATTCAATAAAGAAACCATTAGCATTGATGTTTTTCAAAATCATAAAATGATATTAAAATATTCGGAATCCATGAAAAATATGCCTAACATGTAACATATAATTTTCTTACATTCATACAATCATGCATGAAAACTGTTACACTTATCCTTTATTCCCTCTAAATTCTTATAGTATATTAAATACTTGCTGGGGAACATTACGCCACCAGTCACGTCTCTGTATGGCCTAACCGACATAAATTTATTCATTTTATAAACATCAGGATTCGGAAACTTTGGAGAGAATTTCATATTGCTCAATATCTCATATATTTCTTTTACATTATTTTCAATCCTATCTTTCGTCTGGGCCAACATAAGTAACGGACAACAGTGATATTGAAGTGCTATTATGTCATTGTCACAAGTCAACTCCACGTTAAATACTACAATCACGTTTGGTAACTTATATAATTTTCTTGCGTTCGCATAATTGCAATAAGTCATGTTATGACTTCTATAACGAATTTTTCGTTTGTCGGATGTACAGTTTCTACAAAGCTCTAGTGTATAAGCTTCAACTGGCAATTCTTTTCCTATCATTTCAATTGATAACGATGGAATCGTACAAAATTGATGAAGCAAGAGTTCCCAAGCATATACACTGCGCTTGTCCATAGGTGTTTCGATTAGGATATGAATAACATAGGATTTCTTCGACGGACGGATTGTGTATATACCTGCGCTGTTCATGGCATATATCAATGACAGCGGTGCGGACAAGTCATCAGACAGGCGAAGAATAGCATCGCATGAATATTGAGGTGCCAACCTATCTTCTATATTTTCTCTGATAAAAGTTTTAGTGTCTGGACAATCTATTATGTTATATTTTACGCACTTCTCAAAAATTCTCTCCTCTCTGTTCTCACCAGACCATATCTTAACCAAATCCAGTTCGCAACTCTGCTTTAACAATTTGCATTCATGATATATGAAATCGTGCTTCTCGCATATGTTGATGGATGAGCATCGTTGACAAGGAGAAGACAGATTTTTCTGTGTGTAACAAATGTAACACGATTTAGGGAACAAGAACATTTGCTTTTCGTACGGCTCCAAATCGCGGTAATTTAGTAGCGGTATGATATCGTTTATATTATCCTTCTTGAATTTGATACATTCCATCAGCGTTTCACCACGGAAATCTCTTACGTCTCGGGACAAATTGAGCTTTACTATTGCGCCACAGATTTCTACGTGCTCTGGTTGATGCAGCTTCATATGCGCCACGCTGCAGTAAGAGATCATGCGGCACCAAGGACACTCTACCCTATTGCGCATCATTGTTTTGCAAACATGGCAGAGATTCGGATGGAAAAAACTATTGTAATTTTCAAATTTCATTTGCCAAGGTGATTCGCATATTGATGAAGCTGCCACATTTTTGCGCAAGTGCTGTTTAGGGACATTTTCTTTATAATAATGGTTTGCAAATAACGTGCAGTGTTCGGCAAATTGCAGATATATGAAGATTGTACTTACTGTAATTATAAATTTTTCTAATGATCTCCTGAAGGCCATTATTATTAATATTACTGTTATTACGATATGTAGTTACTGGAAGATGGCTTCATCCATATATTCCTACTTCGGAGGATATTAGTAGCAAAATGTACACCTATAAACAACGACCAGTATAGCTATAAAAAAAATTTCAGTTGTACTAAATTGCAAGCTAAAATGTATCAGGTTACTACTTTTTGTATACGTGACGCCACTTCTTTCTTTGTCTCCTTCTCTCCTTTTTCTCCTCTTTCTTCTCTCTTATGTTTTACTCTCACTCTGTAGAATTTCTCTGAAATTATTACGACAGATATTTTACAATACATAAAACTATCGACATTAAATATTTAACCCCATTTATTAACTCCCTAATCCTACATTAGATTAACCTGCCACGCGACACTGGCAATGACTTCACTTCACTTCAATAATTGGCTAAGACCCCATTTACATTTAGTGTCCCTACGTCATTACTCACTGGCAATGGCTGCATTCAGCAGACTCAACAGTTGCACAACAGTTGAGTAATTTGTCAATGTAATTGGTCTAGATTTAGGGATCTAATAGCAAGAACCAATAATCGTTGATTGCTTACTGAGCGCTTTTTCTACTGAATGCGCCCAAAGACAAACGCGTAAAGTAAAGGGACGTCTACATTGGAAGTAAACAGTAAGAAGTAGAAAGTAAGAATAAGAAATTGACCAATCATAGTTAATTATTCTTCTCACATTCGACTGTGGTTGGTCAATTTCTTA